CCGGGGGGGCGCCTGGGGGGGCCCCCCCCCCCCGGGGACTGTGGGGACAGTCATGAGGTAACCGTGGGCCTCAAGGGAGCCGTGGGGCAACCCTGAGGTAATCTGGGGGCCCGGGGGATCCGTGGGGTAACCCTGAAGTAATTTGGGGTCTCGGGGGATCCGTGGGACAGCCCTGAGGTAATTTGGGGATCCGTGGAGCAGCCCTGAAATAATTTTGGGGTCCGTGGAGCAACCCTGAGGCAATTTGGGGATCCGTGGGTCAGCCCTGAGGCAACTTTGGGCCCTGGGACCACCATGGGGGCAGCCCTGAGGTAACCGTGGGCCTTGGGGAGAATATGGGGCAACCCTGAGGTAATTTGGGGATCTGTGGGGCAACCCTGAGGTAATTTTGGGATCCGTGGAGCAACCCTTAGGTAATTTTGGGTCCCGGGGAATCCGTGGGGCAACCCTGAGGTAACTTTAGGATCCGTGGGGCAACCCTGAGGTGATTTTAGGATCCATAGGGCAACCCTGGGGTAATTTTGGGCTCCCGGGCCACCATGGGGGCAGCCCTGAGGTGACTGTGGGGCAACCCTGAGGTAATTTGGGGATCTGTGGGGCAACCCTGAGGTAATCTGAGGATTCATGAGGCAACCCTGAGGTAATTTTGGGCCCCAGGGCCACCGCGGGGCAGCCCTGAGGTGACTGTGCCCCCCACAGACGCTTCTCTGGGACCATGGAGACAGCCCTGAGCTGAAATTGTGTCCCCCCCCCTCCCCTCCCGAGGAAGCTCTAGGGGTGGCTGCCCCCAGTAATGGCAGGGACAACCCTGAGGTAAATTTGAGCTCCCACCCCGGGGCACCCACGGGGCTCACCCCCACTAACAGTGGGGCATAACTGTGGGGCAGGTCTGGGCTCCCCATCCCAGGCACCTCTGGGGTGCTACAAGGATTCCCCCGCCTTGCACGGGGACCCCCAACCCTGGGGTGCCCCCCAGTCACCCAGCAATACCCCTGGGTCACAATAAATCAGGCAGGGCCTTCTGCAGAAGCCGGGTCAGGTCTCGCTGTATTTAACATACACATTTCCGAGCCTGAAGGGTGGCGAGGCGCGGCCGCCTGGAACAAAGAAAACGCTCCTTTCTGCCTTTTGTTTCTGCCGCGACCCGGACCTTGGATGCCTCGGATGCCAGGCTGAAGCGAAAAGACCCCAGCGCCGTGCGTGGGGCTGAGCGTGTCCGCTTTGGAGGCTTGGTTTGAGGGTGAAGGTGCCTGTGATTAACTCGATGTCAGTGAAGCTGGAGGCAGGTTCCGTCCCACAGTTTCATCCGAACTGGCATTCGCTGCTTCACAGGAGCGCAGTTCAAACCCTGGCAGGTTTTGTCTCAGAATAATCAAAATAAAAACCTTTTTGTAATCATTTTTAATTGCTTGTATCCTGCGCTGCGTGTTAGAGAGCAACAGCAACGCTGACGTGTTGGGGCTTGTGGCACCAGCCTGCTCCAGAGCTGCCGGTAGCTCCTGCCTAGGAGAAGAAGTGGTTTGAATCCTGGTGGAAAAGCTCCCCGAGTTTTATTAGCTGGTGATTTATTTATTTTTTTGTCTTACTTCGGACGCTGTCTGTATTTCTGCGGCGCTTTACAAGAAGACTTAGCACAATGCTTTTGGCAAAGGGCTGTTTGGCGTAATTACTGCTTTTGGGCAAAAGCTTATGGGACAGCTCAAGAGCTGCCCTCGTTTCGTCAGGCTCCTAATTGTAGACCTCGAGATTCTTACCCGGCGTGCGAGGAAGAGGAGGCGCGGAGCTGTAAAGCGTTAAATTAACGCTGGATTTAGCAAAGATGTTTTCACACCTCTCGGGGCTGGCTCTGCTGCCTTGTCTTTTCCGAAT